ACGATTAACACACATACGATAATACAATCATGTAGCAAGTGTCCTCAAAATGATCAACGATTAACACATATACGATAATACAATCATGTATCAAGCGTTCTCAAAATGATGGACGATTAACACACATACGATAATACAATCATGTTGCAAGTGTCCCCAAAATGATCAACGATTAGCAGGTATATGATATGATAATACAATCATATAGTGAGTGTTCTCAAAATGACCGGTGATTAACACGTGTATGATACGATAAGACAATCATGTAGTGAGAGCCGTGATGGCTTAAAGGATGGAGCATCGCCTTCCAATGAGGTAAACCGGGTCCAAATCCCAGCGATGGCTGCTGTATACAAATTCCCCATCCGGCTTACACTGACCACAGTGTTGAAGTAAAATATCCTCAGTGATAGACGGATCATGGGTTAGAGTACCTTTGATATCTGACTGTCCGTGGGAGGTTTTCATACTTTTCCTCTCTGAGCAAGGCAGATGAGTGTAAGTTGCCTCAAAAACTCCTCCACGAATGCAAATTTCTCCGAATACTTGATCCAGGAGTTCCCTTGTCTTCTAGATTGAGTTCAAAATTACAAGACAGCGGAGTTGATCATTAGTAGTCGTAAACCCCAAAAATTGGGACTGCTGTTCAGCAACGCTTACAGAATAAAAAACAAATATCATGTAGTGAGTGTTCTTAAAATGACAGACGATTAGCGAAATTAATTTTCAGCTACAAAAAGGATTTTACTTATTTCATTTCAGCCTACAAAGAATTAATTATACATCCGGAATTTCTTTATTTACTCAGTAATTTCCAGTACATTTGAATAATTTACTTAGTAACCAATACTATTAAATACCTTTTGTTTCATTTTATTCATTGAAATTTGTTCTATTGAACTAAATTACCTGAATTTTATTTTAAAATTTTTATTTAAAATTCCGACTGCCGTAAAACTGACTTTTCAGGAATTTATTGTCTACCATCCACCAGGATTCTTTATCACTGGACTTTGTAATCAGATAGCAAAAGTATATTGACATTGTGAATGCATTTTCTAACACGAATTTTACATGTGATTTTCCTGCCAATAAAATTTCACGGTCAACAGTGGAAAGCGATGATACCTTCATTAGATTTTTATTTATAGTAAGAAATTAAAAGGGAATGGTCTTTAAATTAAAACAGAAAATATTATCGTTTTGTGCAAAAGAAAAGCAACAACCTTATTCTTCGTTAGAATAAAACTGTTTTGTAAATTATTCTACTTAGAAATTCAATAAAGATTGTTCAAATAAAAAATTAGATACGCTAGATAGCGTCAGAAATTAGTGTTAGCAGCAATACCCATCATGGTTAATAATTAAAATATGGGCAGTGCACCACAGAGTATGCATAGATGCTACCGTGAATTACCGAAATCAAC